TCACGAAGAAATCTATCTTAGGAATGCTAGCTATTAACCCATCCACCAACCCCAACACAATTTCCGGTCAATAGGAACTTTCGTCGTTAACACCGAAGTCTGGAGAGCCCGTAACGTAATGTTTTGGTAAGAAGCATTCCCTTCATATAAAAGATACGAGAATGTATTAGCCTTACCCTCATGTATTAGCCTTACCCCATGTATTAGCCTTACCCCCATGCGCCTAACAATTCCCTCTCCAAAATCACCGCATTTTCCGTCCACCCCATAACTTATCTGAAGAACAATGGAGCTCTGTTGTTACACCCGCCCCAGTCACTTGTGAAAGCACACTGCACACATACCTCTTCTATGTACACTGCACATATCTCTATTCTGTGCACACTCCACGTATCTCAATTCTATGCACTCTGCAAATATCTCAATCCTATGCACTCTGCACATTTATCAGTTCTATGCACACTAGAGACCGACCGAAAGTGGTTTTCTGATTTCGGCCGAAGCCGAAAATAGGCCGAAAGTTTAAAAGGACTTTCGGCCGAAACCAAAAAAATGCCGAAAGTTTAAAAATGACTTTCGGCCGAAACCGAAAAAAAGCCGAAAGTTAAAAATGAATTTCGGCCGAAACCGAAGCCGAAACCGAAAATGAAATAATAAGATATTTTGAAATTCGTTCCCGCATACATTCTGCATTAATCGAAAATGATGTGAGAAAGTATAAATATTTAAATTCTTTTTATAAAAAATGAGATAATCGTGAATGTTAATAAATAAACATCTAATATAGGGGTCTCAAACTCGCGGCCCGTGAGCCATTTGTGACCCGCAAGACGATATTTTGCGGCCCGCTACGTGACAGAAAAGTTTAGTGTAAATGCGCCGGCCCGTTTCCCCCATTCTCATATCTATAACGTGACTCTCCGCGACGGTTTCAGTCGAATCTCACCGACTAGTCTAATTCTGATTTTTTTTTTTTTTATGTTTCTATATATTTTTGTATGCCAGGTCTCTGGCAACAGTGAGTAGTTCTTGAGAACCCTTAATGATTTTATTGTTATTTATAAAGGTTGAGCAGATTGTAACAGTTGTAATCGCATTTTTGTATGCCAGGTCTCTGGCAACAGTGAGTAGTTCTTGAGAACCCTTAATGATTTTATTGTTATTTATAAAGGTTGAGCAGATTGTAACAGTTGTAATCGCTTTTTTGTGGATTACTTGATGCGGCCACTCTCATTCAGACACTACCTCCTGTGCCCCCTCCCCTTCTCCCCCCATGATTTGAGTTTGAGACCCTTCATCTAATGAATACTTTGGATTTTACCATTTCAATATAAAAGTAATTTAAATTGCTTTACAATTTTTTAAAAATTAGTATGGTAGGAGAAAATTTGGCAATAATTGGGGGGGAGGAGGTGGAATAATGCAAAATATTATTTTTTTTAAAGACAGGGTCTCTATAAAATGTGGTTCTAAAAGATCGCTTAATTTGTTTTTAAAGATCATTTAGTTGGTTGTTATTGATCGGTTAGTTTCTTCTTAAAGATCGATGAGTTTGTTCATAAAGATCGCTTAGTTTGTTGTTAAAGATCGTTTAGAGCGTTGTTAAAGATCGTTTAGTTTCTTGTTAAAGATCGTTTAGTTTGTTGTTAAAGATCGTTTAGTTTGTTGTTAAAGATCATTTAGTTTGTTGTTGAAGATCTTTTAGTTTGTTCATAAAGATTGCTTAGTTTGTTGTTAAAGATCGCTTAGTTTGTTGCTGAAGATCGCTTAGTTTTTTCATAAAGATCGCTTACTTTTTTCTTAAAGATAATTAATTTTGTTCCTTAAGATCTGTTAGTTTGTTCTTAAAGATCTTTAGTTTGTTCCTAAAGAACATTTAGTTTTCAGTTAAAAATCGCTTAGTTTATTCTTATAAATCATTTCGTTTACTGTTAAAAATCATTTGTTTTGTTCGTAAAGATCATTTAGTTCGGTCTTAAAAATCTTTTAGTTTGTTCTATAAGATCGTTTAGTTTGTTATTAGAGATCGCTTAGATTGTTCTTAAAGATCGCTTAGTTTGTTTTAAATATCGTTTAGTTTGTTCTTAAATGTCCCTTAGTTTGTTGTTAAATATCGTTTAGTTTGTTCTCAAAGATCGCTTAATTTGTTCTTAAATGTCGCTTAGTTTGTTGTTAAATATCGCTTTTAAATGACCGAAAACCTTAGTCACTTTCGGCCAGATGGCCGAAAGTCTAAGTCAATTTCGGCCGAAACCGAAGAAAAACCGAAAGTTAACTTTTCTCTTTCGGGCGAAACCGAAATTAAGCCGAAAGTTAACTTTTCAGTTTTGGCCGAAACCGAAACTTGGCCGAAAGTGACAAAATGGCCAATTTCGGCGCCGAAACCGAAGCCGAAATTCGGTCGGCCTCTAATGCACACTGCAATATCTTAATTGCACGACATTTAAAATGAGGACAACATAATATCGAACAAAAACGTCCTAGCATTTCAATTAAAAGTACGGACCTGCTTTAGTCTAATGAGATGATCAATGTCCGGTTCTATATTTTGTTGCCGATAGTTAGGTACTCGGCGTCCAGACGGACCGGAATAATGGCCACTGTCGGGCTGGTTCTGCCACCGTGGCCGTAGTTTGAGGACCCCTAGTCTAGATCCTTCCCATGGCTATGCCCTTTGCCAGGGGCAACTACAAAAGGGGGGGGGGTTAAAAACGCCCCTGCACTATGCACATATGAGTCATTGGGAACCCCCCTTTAAACCTATCCTGTTTCAGAGAAAATGAAACTGGTTTTCCTGGTTACATGCATAGTTCAAAGGCTTTATATTGACTGGTGAAGCATGTCTTCAAGAGTTAGTTTATTGTAAGCTCGCTCAATTTGTGAGTCACGTGTTCCGTTTTCGCTAGTGACGTCACGATAATTGACAACTGTAAAGCTATTGGGGGCCACATAGACAACTGTAAAGCTATTGGGGGGGGGGCACATTGACAACTGTAAAGCTATCGGAGGGCCACATTGACAACTGTAAAGCTATTGGGGGGCCACATTGACAACTGTAACGCTATGGGGGGCCACATTGACAACTGTAAAGCTATTGGGGGGTCACATTGACAACTGTAAAGCTATTGGGGGGCTGCATGTATATTATGTCCAATTTTGACATGTCGATAAACATTGCCCTACATTAGAATTATTTCAGCTTTACAAGACAAAAGTCAAGGACTGCTCAAACAGTTGAAAATTAGAAAGACATTTGATACAAAAATGTCAAAATCATAACGGGACATGCAATTCTGTAAAATGCAACAAAATAACTTTAAAAAACAAAGTAATTTTAAAAAAATGTCTATATGATTTCGAGGGCCGCATAATATCAGTTGCCGGGCCGCATGAATGAGCTATGCTGACCGTAACGTCAAAGAACCGATAAGATTTAAGTACGCTCGGATTCTTAAAACGGTCAGCTGCAGTGACGAAAATTAAGCGAAATGTTAAAAAAAATTTACAGTGGCATTTAGTTCAATTAAGTTCATTGAAGTTTGGTTAAGTTCCATTAAGTTTATGGAAAACGTGTAGCATTAAGAGGAAAAAGTGTAGCATTAAGAGGATAAAGTGTAGCATTAAGAGGATAAAGTGTAGCATTAAGAGGATAAAGTGTAGCATTAAGAGGATAAAGTGTAATTAAGTTTATGGAAAACGTGTAGCATTAAGAGGAAAAAGTGTAGCATTAAGAGGATAAAGTGTAGCATTAAGAGGATAAAGTGTAGCATTAAGAGGATAAAGTGTAGCATTAAGAGGATAAAGTGTTGCATTAAGAGGATAAAGTGTAGCATTAAGAGGATAAAGTGTAGCATTAAGAGGATAAAGTGTAGCATTAAGAGGATAAAGTGTAGCATTAAGAGGATAAAGTGTAGCATTAAGAGTATAAAGTGTAGCATTAAGAGGATAAAGTGTAGCATTAAGAGGATAAAGTGTAGCATTAAGAGGATAAAGTGTAGCATTAAGAGGATAAAGTGTAGCATTAAGAGGATAAAGTGTAGCATTAAGAGGATAAAGTGTAGCATTAAGAAGATAAAGTGTACCATTAAGAGGATAAAGTGTAGCATTGAGAGGATAAAGTGTAGCATTAAGAGGATAAAGTGTAGCATTAAGAGGATAAAGTGTAGCATTAAGAGGATAAAGTGTAGCATTAAGAGTGTGACGAGTAACTGAATTAAAGTGACCAAAGGAGTTTAGCATTAACTGTGTAGCCAGGAAGAGAACGAAGTGAGTCTCCTTCGCCTATCTCCTCCACCCTACACCTCCGCCAGCAACTTTCGTAAACTCAAGTCTGCTGATTTCCAAGGTAAATTCACTTTATAAAACAAGTTAATTTCTTCACATTCTCTGTTATTATGTTTTTGTACAATATTTGTCATCTATAAATACATTTTTCTTATTAAAAAACAACTGTGGTGGTATTTTGGGGGCTGGAACGAATTAATTGCATTTTTATTAAATTCAATGGGAAAAATTGCTTTGAGATACGAGCAAATTGACTTACGAGGAAGGTTACGGAACGAATTCAATTCGTATCTCGAGGTACCACTGTAGTGGAGTAGAGCTACTGTATCTTTCGCCCGTGGTGTGTGCAGCACCTCATTAACGAGAATCACTAAAACTACAAATGTAGATCGTAAATGAATTGCCAAGAAATGCAGCTCCCAAAAAGGGTCGCCCGGGTTGACAGCGGCGCCGAACTTTTCATACGCCACTTGCTTATTGGAACAGCCGGCAAGCCTATTTCATGTTACCTTGCCGTATAAACGAATGCCCTTAAACGGATGACAGTAGCGTGATCTGTCTCGAGCAGATATGACTGATACACAACATGAGGACAAGATCAGCCGTCTAACACAGCATTATGTACCGGTGTGTAGCCGACATGATTCAGCCCAGGATATGAATTAACGGGGCTTGAAACGGTTCCGACCGGAAACTGTTTGAATTGTTGTGTGTCAACCACAGTTCACACCGTCTAGTGATCGTGATGGAAGATGGGTTCACACCACCTCGTAATCGTGATGGAAGATGGGATGGTATTGGCATCAAATACTTTTGTGGTGTGTAAATAAATCTGCAATCACTGAAATAAGGGCTTAACACCTTTACATCATGCAAAATAAGGTTAGTAGTGACTGTTTTTTTTAATAGAGAAACTCACACAAAACTCTCCGAAAAACAATCCCAATTCGTTGACAACTTTCCTATAAAATAATATTGAGTCTATTGGTGCCATTTGCCAAGCCATCTGTCACAGTGGTTCTCAAAGTGCGTTGCAGCGCCCTCAGTGGGGGTGTGGGTGGAATTCTCGGGGTGCGGAATAATGCTAATTAGAACTATGGGGGGGGGGGCACAGAGGGTATCTAAGAGGGCTGATTTGGATTCTATTTTTTTTTAAAATTATACAAAATTTGAAAACCATTATTTAAAAGTATAATCGAATTTAAAAAAGAGTCATACATAGAAATCAGTTAATCAGTGCAGTTGGCTATGTACAACAAGATTTACTCCGTAGATATTTACTCATTGCGGCGTAATAAATGTACTGTACAAAAGTACACTTTAAAAAGAACATATTTGTATGTACATTCAATGGACGTAGACATAACAATCCTAACGTTGATTTACTCTGGTGGTACTATCAATGACAGTATGTTAACATCAAGGACAGCACGTTACCATCAAGGAAAGCTTGTTACCATCAAGAACGGCTTGCTACCATCAAGGACATCATGTCCCAATCAAGGGCAGCTTGTTACCACCAAAGACACCTTGTTACCACCAAGGACAGCTTTTAACCATCAAGGACAGCTTGTTACCGTCAATGACAGCTTTTTACCATAAAGGACAGCTTGTTACCGTCAACAAAAGCTTTTTACCATCAAAACAGCATGTTACCATCAAAAACAGCTTTTTAGCATCAAGGACAACTTGTAACAATCAAGGACAGCTTGTTACCATCAAGGACAGCTTGTTACCATCAAGGACAGCTTGTTACCATTAAGGACAGCTTGTTACCATCAAGGACAGCTTGTTACCATCAAGGAAAGCTTGTTACCATGAAGGACAGCTTGTTACCATCAAGCACAGCTTGTTACCATCAAGGACAGCTTGTTAACATCAAGGAAAGCTTGTTACCATCAAGAACGGCTTGCTACCATCAAGGAAATCATGTAACAATCAAGGACAGCTTGTTACCATCAAGGAGAGCATGCGACAATCAATGACATATTGTTATTATGAAGGACAGCTTGTTACCAACAAGGACAGCTTGTTACCATCAAAGAAACCTTTTTACCACCAATGAAAGCTTTTTACAATCAAAGACAGCTGGTTACCGTCAAGGACAGCTTTTTATCGCACAGGACAGCTTGTAACCGTCAACAAAAGCTTGTTACCATCAAAAACAGCATGTTACCATCAAGAGCAGCTTGTAACCATCCAGGAAAGCTTGTTACCACGAAGGACAGCTTATTACCACCAAGGACAGCTTGTTACTATCAAAGAAAACTTGTTATAAACAAGGAAAGCTTGTTACCTTCAAGGAAAGCTTGTTAATACCAAGGACAGCTTGTTACCACCAAGGACAGTTTGTTTCTCTCAAGGACAGTTTGTTACTATCAAGGACAGCTTGTTACCACCAAGGACAGCTTGTTACCACCAAGGACAGCTTGTTAACTCCCTGGAAGCTTGTTACCACCAAGGACAGCTTGTTACCTCTAAGGACAGCTTGTTACCATCAAGAAATGTTTTTTATCACAAAGGAAAGTTTGCAACTACCAAGGACAGTTTGTTACCATCAAGGACAGCTTGTTACGATCAAGGAAAGTTTGTTACCATCAAGGACAACTTGTTACAGTCAGGGACAATTTTTTACCATCAAGGACAGTTTGTTACCATCAAGGACAGTTTGTTACCATCAAGGACAGCTTGTTAACACCCAGGACATCTTGTTACTACCAAGTTTATTAAGTGTGGTTGTTAACATCAGAGAAGCTGACATGTAAGTGTGGTTGTTAACATCAGACAAGCTGATATGTAAGTGTGGTTGTTAACATCAGACAAGCTGACATGTAAGTGTGGTTGTTAACATCAGACAAGCTGACATTAAGGTTTGGTTCTTAACATCATACACGCTCACATGTAAGTGTGGTTGTTAACATCATACAAGCTGACATGTAAGTTCGTTTGTTAACATCATACACGCTGACATGTAAGTGTGGTTGTTAACATCATACAAGCTGACATGTAAGTTCGTTTGTTAACATCATACACGCTGACATGTAAGTGTGATGTTTGCAGTCTTGTTAACATCAGACACGCTGACATGTAAGTGTGATGTTTGCAGTCTTGTTAACATCATACAAGCTGACATGTAAGTGTGATGTTTGCAGTCTTGTTAACATCAGACAAGCTGACATGTAAGTGTGATGTTTGCAGTCTTGTTAACATCAGACAAGCTGACATGTAAGTGTGATGTTTGCAGTCTTGTTAACATCAGACAAGTTGACATGTAAGTGTGATGTTTGCAGTCTTGTTAACATCAGACACGCTGACATGTAAGTGTGGTTTCAAAGTACGTTTAATATGTTAAATTTTTCTGCATCATTACAATCAAATTAGGAAATATATATATATTTCTCCCCCCCCCTCTCTCTCTCTCTCTCTCTCTCTCACTTTTCTCTTGCTCTTACAGCTCTCATTTCGCCCCTCTCTTTTCTCTATTCTGTGCTCTCTCTCTCCCTCTCTCTCTCTCTATAAATATATATATACATATATATATAAATGTTATATCCTTATATGAATTTGGTTGGCCAGATTTCATTCATTGTCTCTACATAAGTACATAAGTTTTTTTTTTTCTTAATTTGAATTTGTTTGTTTGTTTCAAAATTTGATGATGCGCTTTGCTGTTGCAGTGACCTAAGAGTTGCCAAGTTGTTTGTTATCTATGATCATCAAACTACACCATCATCTCATGGTGACCAAATGAAGAACGTAAACTGACGTTTATAGCCTAACTGATAGACCTAAAGGGAGTCCTATCTGGGTACTCATCTTGAGATTGTTAAAAGGTTAAAACGTGTGTGCAGAATCGCATCGACATTGTACACAGAAGAGCAATATCCAAGATGGCGGACGAGACATTTACTGACGAATCGGAATGGGTGCCCACGTCACATCGTGCCATTTCAAAACAGTCCTCCAGGAGGCGCCCCTCGTCGATTGGCTCCGTTGATTCCGGCTACTCCATCCGATCTGGATCAGCGTACTACGCCAGGCCGCCCATCGTCCACAGGCGTGCGCCCCCTCCATTACCACTCTCCATCACCGGTAGGACGCCCCCGACTAGGCCCCCGCCACCACCCCCACGCAGAAGACAATGCTCCACGTCCCAACCTAACCACCCAACCAGCAACTCACATCGTCACAGAACCAGAACTAACCAGGACTGCCCGAGTCTAATCATTCGGAGGCGCTATTTGGTGATCATTTGCTGCGTGTCCTTGACCTTGAGCACAATGTGCATCATTATGTTTGGCCTGATGTGGATAAGATCCTCGAGAGACCCCTTAGAGGTTTGCGTGGACTGCAGTGGGCTGAACGTGTCCACCATTGGAACTGATGTGCTGACAAAGAGATACGACGGGCAGTGCTGTGCCCATACAAAGGATCAGTTCTCGACGCTCATCGGACTGGTCAGTATATAAGGACATTGAGTTTAACTCTGCTAAATGCGAAGTACTTTTTCCATTAACATTTTTTTTTAAAGTTAAAAAGACTTATTTCGAAGACGAGTTTAAGCGCTCTACAAATTGGAGAATAATTTCTTAAAAAATTATTACGCAAAAAAATTTCTGAGCAGAAAGATATTAAGAACTTTATGATACCAAAAGATTTCAATCAAATTTTAAAGATACTTAAATGTTTTATCTTCTAATTTTTGAAAATTGACTCCGACTCCACATTGACTTTCTTTGCATAATTAATTTTCTATTTCTTTAGTTGAAAGAAAAACTTAAAAAAAAATAATAGCAAATATAATTTTAAAATATTCTACTTTATAGTTTAAGTATGAAGATTTTAATAAGTAAATTATCTACTAAAGACGTGGGTGTTATTTTTATACAACGAAAGCTTGCAACATAGCTCTTTACCAGGCATACAACTGGCAAGTAGAATTTACCGATTACTTGCCATCCGTTGATAAGACAACAAAATTCTAGTTACCGAAATGCTATGCCCCAACCACTGCCCCATCCCGTCCCAACATCCTACGGTTAGAACCGATGGTTTGGAGGCGAAGGTCTGGGCTGTTTTTTTATTTTTTTATTTCACATCGCTCAACACCCCCCTCCCCCCCCCCCCCCCTTTTATTTCCGATCCAGCATACACGAGATAAACTGAATCGACCGAACGAGAGAGTCATGCGTCAACACTCACAAAAAAAATCAAACAAGATGGAATACAAGAAGAAAAAAAGTCTTTAATCATAAACATTTACAAAATCATAATTGGGTATATAGTATATAAAATACAGGAGCGCATATCCCGAAATGACGTGAAAACTGGTTGGATTTCATTGAACCCTTTTGTCAAGCCTGTTATTTAAATATAGCACCCGTATGTCAATATGTCCGTATGTCAGTATGTCCGTATGTCAGTCTGTCCGTATGTCAGTCTGTCCGTATGTCAGTATGTCAGTATGTCCGTATGTCAGTATGTCCGTATGTCCGTATGTCAGTATGTCCGTATGTCCGTATGTCAGTATGTCCAGCTTGATTATTAAACTATGGTACTCGTATGTTGCGCGTGGTATTCCAGTTATGTAAAGTTTAATTTTAAAGAATTTTCCTAGATTTTGGGGCAGTAGGATCTCTTTGTCCAGCTGATTAGGTCAAAGGGCGGACAGTGTTTGGCTTTTGTTCAGCTGATTAGGTCAAAGGGCGGACAGTGTTTGGTTTTTGTCCAGCTGATTAGGTCAAAGGGCGGACAGTGTTTGGTTTTTGTCCAGCTGATTAGGTCAAAGGGCGGACAGTGTTTGGTTTTTGTCCAGCTGATTAGGTCAAAGGGCGGACAGTGTTTGGTTTTTGTCCAGCTGATTAGGTCAAAGGGCGGACAGTGTTTGGTTTTTGTCCAGCTGATTAGGTCAAAGGGCGGACAATGGTTTTTATTTCTTAATCAGATTTGTTTCCTCGACGTTACATAATGTGGATATCAATAATATAGATTATCAATTTTATTTGCTGTTTCATTTTTAAAAAATACCCAACCCTGCTTGTGAGCAATACCTTATCTTTATTGACAAAACAATACCTTATTTTTATTGACAAAACAATACCTTATTCTTATTGACAAAACAATACCTTATTTTTATTGACAAAACCATACCTTATTTTTATTGACAAAACAATACCTTATTTTTATTGACAAACAATACCTTATTTTTATTGACAAAACAATACCTTATTTTTATTGACAAAATAATACCTTATTTTTATTGACAAAACAATACCTTATTTTTATTGACAAAACAATACCTTATTTTTATTGACAAACAATACCTTATTTTTATTGACAAAACAATACCTTATTTTTATTGACAAAACCATACCTTATTTTTATTGACAAAACAATACCTTATTTTTATTGACAAACAATACCTTATTTTTATTGACAAAACAATACTTTATTTTTATTGACAAAATAATACCTTATTTTTATTGACAAAACAATACCTTATTTTTATTGACAAAACAATACCTTATTTTTATTGACAAAACAATAAATTATCTTTATTGACAAAACAATACATTATTTTTATTGACAAAACAATACCTTATTTTTATTGACAAAACAATACCTTATTTGATTGACAAAACAATGCCTTATCTTTATTGACAAACAATACCTTATTTTTATTGACAAAACAATACCTTATTTTTATTGACAAAACCATACCTTATTTTTATTGACAAAGCAATACCTTATTTTTATTGACAAAACAATACCTTAATTTTATTGACAAAACAATACCTTATTTTTATTTACAAATCTTTTCACCGTGTTTTAATATTAGATATTCGTTTTGTTTCTCCCTGGCCAACAAACAGGTTCTAGAGCGGATTACACAGAATTTAAATTGTAAGTAAATTAACAAAACTAGAATAACATTCTTAAATAACGTTTAAGATAAGATTCCATTTATATAAACTGTTTTATTTGTATAAAAATTCCCTTTATATTTGTCATTATAACTAGGATCAGCTAATAAGTTGTTTACTCTTTGCAAAGTCCGTTTACGACTTCTTACAACCCGTCCTGCTCAGTAGACTGGGGCAAAACATGAGACTCCACCAGTCCTGCAAAGTAGACTGGACAAAACATCAGACCCCAACTGTCCTACTAAGTAGACTGACGCAAAACATGAGACCCCACCAGTCCTGCTGAGTAGACTGGGACAAAACGTGAGACCCAACCAGTCCTGCTAAGTAGACTGGGACAAAACATGAGACCCCACACGTCCTGATAAGTAGACTACGACAAAACATGAGACCCCACCAGTCCTGCTAAGTAGACTGGGACAAAACATGAAACCCTACCAGTCCTGCTAAGTAGACTGCGACAAAACATGAGACCCCTCCCTTCCTTCTAAGTAGACTGGGAAAAAAAATGAGACCCAACCCGTGATGCTAAGTAGACTGGGACAAAACATCAGACCCCACCTGTCCTACTAAGTAGACTGGTGCAAAACATGAGTGCCACCAGTCCTGCTTAGTAGACTGGGACAAAACATCAGACCCCACCTGTCCTACTAAGTAGACTGGTGCAAAACATGAGACCCCACCCGCCCTGCTAAGTAGACTGGGGCAAAACATGAGACCCCACCAGTCCTGCTAAGTAGACTGCGACAAAACATCAGACTCCACCAGTCCTGAAAAGTAGACTGGACAAAAAATCAGACCCCAACTGTCCTACTAAGTAGACTGGTGCAAAACATGAGACCTCACCAGTCCTGCTGAGTAGACTGGGACAAAACATGAGACCCAACCAGTCCTGCTAAGTAGACTGGGACACAACATGAGACCTCAAACGTCCTTACAAGTAGACTTGGACAAAACATGAGACCCCACCTGTCCTTCCAAGTAGACTGGGACAAAACATGAGACCCCATACGTCCTGCTAAGTAGACTGGGACAAAACATGAGACCCTATCCGTCCGCTAAGTAGACCGGGACAAAACATGAGACGCCACCCGTCCTGCTAAAAGGACTTGGACAAAACATGACACACGTCAAGAGTCCAAAAATGAACATTCCATTGATATTCATTGTGAATACTAATATAGTAATGGGAATCATTGCTTTTATTTCATAGAAAATATTTTCTTTTTCATTTAACGGCAGGTATCTCTTTGAGTCCCTCTATGGCTCATTTGACTTTCAAAAGTAAGTATCAAACATTTTTATGTGTATATTTGCTTAAGGCTAAATTTTACAAGGAACAAAGCGTGAAGTGATATTGAAAGATTTTATTAAATTATCTAAGTTTTGCCCATCTCCTAAATGTGCACCACCATCTTCCCAAAGTATACCACCATCACCTATCTATCTATCGCACATATTCTGGTGAAGGTCTGAGATTACTCTATTATGACCCCGGCTAGTAAATTGGCTAATCAACTCCATCAGTTGAGCTGAGCCATACAACATTTCCCTCACAAAGGATCCTCCAACCGCCCTGGCTTCCCCCGGGAGATCTAGTGCGGGACATTCAGTCAACAGATGTTCTAGGGTCTCTGGGGCCAGGCTGCAATGCCGGCAGGTAGGATCTCTGTTGTTGTCCAACCTCCAGAAATATGTGCGCAAGGGGCAGTGCTCGGTGCGCATCTGCGTCACTAGACTCTGCGATCTACGACCTAACTCCCACCATGGGTCATGTTTGCTAGGAGTGGGCAAATTCGAATAGACGCCTCTGGTGGTCGTGTTGTCAGCCCATTGCCTGTACCACTTCTGCCTGAAGTGGTCCGCCAGCCAGTTTTTGACTTCCAAGAAAGTCATTGGTACTTCTGGCTGAGGCTGGGCAGCCCCGGTTTTCGCCACAGTGTCAGCTATCTAATTGCCACTGATGTTGACATGCCCTGGTATCCATTGTATTTCAACCTTGCACCCTATTTCATCAAGTCTGCATATGTCGTTGTGAATGACATCAACCAAGCGAGTGGTCCCCCCTCTCTTCTCCAGGATCTCAAGAGCAGATCTTGAGTCTGAGAAGACAACAATACCAAGCCCCGCATGCTCCGTCCCTCCCAGAGTAATATGGACTCTCTCCAGTGCCATGTGAATAGCTATGAGCTCCGCGTCAAAGTTTGACGCTGTAGTCCCACAAGGCCCCGAGAGTTTTTCATTAGGTGGTCCACCTACTGGGTACTGAATAAGCGCACCGTACCCAGCAGTTCTTTTCTTAAGATACATGGTCTCAAGGGCAGCCACTCTCTGTACATGTTCAGGGCTGCGTTTCGTCACTGCTGCATCTGTCAAGGCCAAATGTATGGAGGGACGTGAGGGTTCCGCATAAGGCGGATTAACTGGGATTTGGTTCAGACGTTCTCTATTTGGGGGCAGGGGGACTGCCCGTTCCAGCTCCACGACCTGGTGCATGAAAGGGGACCTCTTTAGTCTCCTGCCGCCCACCCAGTTATTTTGCATTTGAAAGGCTGGTTCGTTTTCACCAAGCCGTCGGTACCTCTCTACGGTATTTAAAATGGATTTTTCCCTCCTAATTTGTAGCGGTTCTACATTGGCCAAGACTTCTACAGCAGCTGTGGGAGTAGTCCTGTATGCGCCACAGATGAATCTCAGAGCCTGATTCTGGATTCGGCCCAGTTTTTCCAGTGCGGTCTTGCTTGCAAAGGATTGGACCGGCATGCTGTAATCCATCACCGACCTTACACTGCTTAGAAAGAGAGCTCTAAGCGTACTTGCGCTCGCGCCCCAACTTGTGCAAGCCAATTTTTTCACCAGGTTGAGCTTGGCGGTCGCCTGGGAGCAGAGGTCCTGTACAAAATTGGGCATTTGTACCTTTTGGTCCAGCTTAACTCCCAGGTAGACCGGTTGTTTGTCCCACTTGAGCGCTACATCGCCCACCTTGAGCTCGATCTCCTGTTTGAGAATGGTCCGCCCATTTGTGAATAGTGAATAGACCGTCTTCTCGGTGTTAATTTCCTGATGCCACCGCCGCATGTACCTGTTAATAGCAGAGAGGTCCTGCTGTAGTAGCGTTTGCAGGCGGTGGACATCTTTACCGGTGCTCCAGATTACCAAATCGTCCACATACATAACAGAGCTAGTCGTTAGCACCTGTGGCAGGTCATTGATGTATGCAAGGAAGAGGGTGCAACTGAGGGCAGACCCCTGCGGGAGTCCCTCCTCAAGTGTCCTCTTCCTGGAGGTTTCACCGCCGAATTTCGTGTTTATCGTCCGGTTTGTGAGGAAACCGGAGATCCACCTGTACATGTTCGCGGTTACTCCCAACTTCTGCAACTTCAACAATAGACCGGACCTCCAAACTCGGTCATAGGCTTGTTTGAGGTAAAAAAATACTGCCACTGTATGGGATTTCTTTTGGAGCCCATCTGTTATGGACTGGAGAAGACGGAGCACTTGGTCCACAGGCTGCATTCCCTTGCGGAAGCCCGCCTGTATTGGGCTGAGACTCTTAGTGCTCTCCAAGTGCCAGTAGAGTCTCTGGTTGACCATTCTCTCGGCTACCTTCCCTAACATCGATGTCAGGGAGATCGGACGATAGCCGTCAGGTTTATCGAGTTTCTTCCCTTCTTTGGGAATAGGGACGATGGTAGCGCTCAGCCAAGCTCTGGGTAGGATTCCCGTTACCCATGTTCTGTTGATAATTTCCAATAGCGTTGTCCTTGCTATTGGGCCAAGGTTTTTAATCATTTCATTGCAGATCTTGTCCTGACCTGGTGCCTTGGCGGCGTCACACTTGTTAATGGCGGTTTGCAATTCGACCAAAGTGAACCACCATCACCTCAATGTACACATTCGACTTTTCAATGTACACTACCATCTCCTCAATGTACGCTACCATCTATCCAATTTACAACAACGTATCCCCAATTTTCACCACCATCTCCCCGATGTACACCACCATCTCCTCAATTTACATCACCATCTCCTCACTGTAAATCACCATCTCCTCAATGTACACCACCCTCTTATCAATGTACATCACAAAGCCCTCAATGTACGCTACGATTTACCCTATGTACACTAACATATCCTTAATGTACACCACCATCCCCCAAGCACACCACCATCTCCTCAATGTAAACAACCATCTTCCCAAAGTACACCATTATATCCCAATGTACACCAACATCTCCCTAATGTACACCACCATCTCCTAAATTTACCCCACTATCTCTTTAATGTGCACCACCATCTTCCCATTGCACACCACCATCAACCATATGTACATCCTCATATCCCCAATGTACACGACCATCCTCTCAATATACACCCCCATCTCCCATATGTACACAACCATCTATCATTTATACACCACTATCTCCCTTATGAACGCCAAAATCTCCCCAATGTACACCACCATCTCCAATATGTTCGAGGCCATATTCCTAATATACACCACTATTTCCCCAATGTACACCACGATCTCCCCAATGTACACCACCATCTGCCAAATGTACACATCCATCTCCCCAATGTACACCACCATCTCCCCAATGTACACCACGATCTTCCCTATGTGCATTACCATCTCCCCAATGTACATTACTTTTAATTGAAATTTTATGTTAACAATAATTCATGATTATAAGATGCCGTTATGTAGACAAAGCACCCCCACTCCCCCCCCCACCCCCCCCCCCCCCCCCCCCCACTCCCCAAAAGATTTCACAGCTTGAATTAAAATTTTAAAGGAATTATGATATGGGATATAAAGCATGTATTAAAATATTATATCCCCTTTTCAGGGTTTCTTTCAGGGTATAGTACGTATGCAGGTCAAAATGACCCGGCCAGCTTGATAGGTTGAGATCAGGGCTGCCACTCACATTTTTAAAATTTCCCAAGATTTGTTGAATAAATTTCCCAAGATTTCCCAAGATTTCCCAAGATCATAAAAATATATAAGAGTTTTTTTTTTAAAAGTAAGTTTTCTCTGTAATTAATGTAATAATAGATTGAATTAATGCCCCTGAAAAATATGGTACATTAATTGACTGAAATTTATTGAAAAAGACATTTTAAAAAATGTTTATCACATAAAAAAACAATTTGTTTTAAAAAAAATAATTTATAATCCAAAACAATTAAAACAATTATTTTTTGCTTTGTTACTTTAAAAATTATTTTGCTTTATTTTCACTTTATTTTTTATCACATATTATTGCGTTTTTTCGAAAGATATAATAAAATTTTCCCACCAGTTAAGATTTCCCAAGGTTTTGCCTGATTTTCAAAATTATTCCCCAGATTCCAAGGGGGGTCGTGAATTCCCAAGATCTTGGGAAATTTCCCAAGGTGTGGTAGCCCTGGTTGAGATCCCTTTGCCTTAACCTTGGCGTAGTCAATGACATCACATGATTTTTTCATAACTTTTTTATAGGCTTATTTGTATCCCGAAGTGGACGTAGCGAAAGTCAATGTTTGAGTCGAACTGATTGAGAAATTACCCATAATATTTATTGAAGATAAAAATGACGTTCTTCCAAAGAACCAAATCAGAAATGTCTCCATGACTTTAACCCCTCGGTAGCGTGTCAATCCTCCCCATTATACATTTGAACCCCTAGATTTGTGTCAGTTTGAAGCACAAGTCACTGTCAAGCTAAACGGCTCGAGTGAACCCCACCGATACTTACATCTACTTAATGAAAGGGCCTTATACTGATACACAGATGCTGCTTTGAAAAACTGTCCTTAGACACCCTCCTTAGAACCCCCCAACTCTTTAAACAACTGATGTTTTGTTTCACTACTGACAGAGAGCAGTTCCTCAACACTTGAGTTTGATGCTAACTTAACAAGATCTGTGGGGGACTCGATGGAGATTGATACCACCCAGCCCAGACTCATGATTAAAACCCCCGGATTGTATTTCATATATTCAAGTATTTACTTCAAGTCGAATCAAACCTGTAAAGTAGGAGAGGAGGTGAATGAAGATATTACTTTAACTAAAACAATTAAATGTTAAAAATATCCGAAAGGGAAGACACGTATTTAATCCATCTACTGGGTTTCATTTTTAGCATTATTAACAATAATAAAATTTTAAAAAAACAACAGTAGATGGTAAAAATGAATCCACCAAGAATCTTGGGCGGCCGTACAAGCAAAATCAAAACTGTGTAGGATGCAAGTGTCGGAATGAGTTTATGAATTGTCCTATTGATAGATACAAAAAAAAAATAATATAATACCTGATTATTATATTATGTACATGGGCATTCTGTCCAGTATCTAATTCTGTACTGAACCTTTTGAAATATACCTATTAATTAAGTATTCTTTACTGTACATTAACTATGATTTCTATCTAGTTCTTCTAAGCATTCAGTACACACACCTAGAATTCTAAACATATACCTGAGTATTTTATTTTATCCACTCATTAGACATTATTCTAAGTTCCATACGACGCACAATGTTTGAAAATTAAACACATCATAGGGCACAGATTTTAATAAGTCCGTACAATCTGTGAGAATCCAAGCAAGAGTCACAATATAACTTGTAACAAATCCCTTCTATGAAAAGCTTTCCCTGATTCTTGTCTTCATTCCTCACCAGTCGGAACTCGAATAGCGTTTGGAAGAGCAGAATTCATTTTTCCTTGAAGAAACTAATCTTGATTGACATACGTTAGAAAATAATTCATCTAGCTGATGATTCCTGTAGTTGACCAGTGGCCATCTTTTTACAACTTAATGCGCATTTTTTAATTTTTTTTAAGTCCCAGATGTGTGAGCAGAATGTGTTCAAAGGGTCCTCTGAACGACTCAAGGTCAGTCTGTTAAGGTCTGTACACAAGTGCTGTAGCCAAGGTCAATTCACCAGCTATGCAGGTAAAAATAAATATATAAAGGTATACATTTTAGTAAATTTGGAGGTAAGTAGTTATCAATAAAGGTAAACATATAGTTGGTATCCAAGTAAGAATTTATCAATGAAAGTTATAACAGTTTAGGTAGTTGGTAGCATGATCAATTCTGCTCACGACTTAAACATTTACCAACGTCTAGTTCGATATTTCGTTGTGGCGGATCCACCAGATTTCAATAAAAGACTCACTGAACATAAACCATGTATTAACTGTCAGCTTAATAACATCCCAGGAACCTGCGATGTAAGCATTGGAATGTTCTTACCATAACTTAAATATATCAACGAAAATGGGTAAAAAAATATTTGAAAATGTTATAATTGGAAATCATAGAATACAGGTTCTTAACCTGTAGTCCTTAGTAATTTTATGATATGGATTTAAAGTTCTGTTTAAGTGTCCCTAGTATCGCTTTTTTGACACCGTATTACTCAATGAGTTCTAATAAATGTCAATATGCAATATGGTTGCACCTGTTCATCTGTGTAATGACGGTATGTTCGGATGTGTAATGATTTCATGTTCAGATGTGTAATGGTGTTATGTTCACATGTGTAATGATTTTATGTTCATCTGTGTAATGATATTATGTTCAGCTGTGTAATGATGTTATGTTCAACTGTGTAATGATTTTATGTTCAGATATGTAATGATTTTATGTTCGATATGTAATGATTTTATGTTCAGATGTGTAATGATGTTATGTTCAGCTGTGTAATGATGTTATGTTCATCTGTGTAGCGATTTTATGTTTAGTTGTGTATTGATGTTATGTTCAGCTGTGTAATGATTTTATGTTCAGATGTGTAATGATTTTATGTTCAGCTGTGTAATGGTGCTATGTTTCAGGTGGACTGTTCTCATTGGCTGCTGGGGACATCATCTTTGTGTCCGTCACGGACACCTCTCTCATTGACTTTGACCCCGCGGCGTCGTACTTGGGTTTGATGATGGTCAGGAGTTGACAATGAACTCAGTCAGGAGTTGACAATGAACTCAGTCAGGAGTTGACAATGAACTCAGTCAGGAGTTGACAATGAACTCAGCCAGGAGTTGACAATGAACTCAGTCAGGAGTTGACAATGAACTCAGTCAGGAGTTGACAATGAACTCAGTCAGGAGTTGACAATGAACTCAGTCAGGAGTTGACAATGAACTCAGTCAGAGGCAGGAATAACTCTTGATTGTTTAAATTAATCTTGTCAGTAGACAAGCGTAAGACGAGGGCAATTCCTGAGTCAGAGAAACAATTCAGGTTTACTCATTAAAATTGTGAAACCGATGACGTCGTGGCTCACAACAAACAAATGGAATTTTGGTTTGTTCACGCTTGGTTGCCAACTATGGCATTAGTTACACTGGAGATCACGCGAAGGAATTCTTGACAGAACTTATAATTTTGTCTTAAGAAGATGTTGAGTCCTAGATTGTGACACAAGAGATCACTAAAGAATAGTTCCCAATTTGTTGCCCCTCCCCCTCCATAGAGTACACCCAGAGCGCCGCCTCTGATGCCGATATCTATTTTTAAGGGGCAATAAGTTCAATAAGTAGAGTCACCAATTTTGGTGTAACCCTTCTGGGCAATTTCTTTCTTTTAGGGTGGGGGTGGAGGTGTTTTCCTTGAGGAGAATGCTGGCATACAGTGTGACCTTCAACCTGCGTGATATACTCCCACGACATAGCCAAGATATATTCTTTTCACTGCCCAATAGCGTATTATTAATTGCATTTTTAACGCATTGACCACTGTCCACTGACATAGCATACTTTACAATGAACTGCTCAGCTATATGAGCAAGGGCATTTTATGGAGAGTTTATTGTTTAAAGTTACATGTGTGGACGTTACACTTTGAATGTACACTTTCACTGCAAGATTGTACAAGGTTCTTTAAATGAACACATTCACTGCAGGGTTTGTACAAGTTACTTTAAATGTGCACATTCACTCAAAATATAACACACTGCAAGAATGTACAAGGTACTTTGAATGTACACATTCACTGCACATTCACTGCAAGATTGTACACAGTACTTTAAATGTATACATTAACTGCAAGATTGTACAAGGTACCTTGAATGTATACATTCATTGCAAGATTGTACTAGTTACTTTGAATGTGCTCATTCACTCAAAATATAACTTACTGCAAGTTTGTACAAGGTACTTTGAATGTACATATTCACTGCAATATTGTACAAGGTACTTTGAATGTACACATTCACTGCAAGATTGTACACGGTACTTTAAATGTATACATTAACTGCAAGATTGTACAAGGTACCTTGAATGTATACATTCATTGCAAGATTGTACAAGTTACTTTGAATGTGCTCATTCACTCAAAATATAACTTACTGCAAGTTTGTACAAGGTACTTTGAATGTACATATTCACTGCAATATTGTACAAGGTACTTTGAATGTACACATTCACTGCAAGATTGTACAAGGTACTTTGAATGTACACATTCACTGCAATGTTTTACAAGGTACTTTGAATGTACACATTCACTGCAATATTGTACAAGGTGCTTTGAATGTACACATTCACTGCAAGGTTTTACAAGGTATTTTGAATGTACACATTCACTGTAAGATTGTACAAGGTACTTTGAATGTACACATTCACTGCACGATTGTACAAGGTTCTTTGAATGTACACATTCACTGCAAGGTTTTACAAGGTACTTTGAATGTACACATTCACTGCAAGATTGTACAAGGTACTTTGAATGTACACATTCACTGCAAGATTGTACAAGGTACTTTGAATGTACACATTCACTGCAAGGTTTTACAAGGTACTTTGAACATTCATTTACATTTCAAGTAACGATTTATCCTTTGATTTCTCTAAACTAATGATACATTTATTAGGGCTAAATATTAGCACACCTGGCACATTCCCTATCCCACATCTAGCTGAGTATTAGCACACCTGGCACATTCCCGGTCCCACATCGGGCTGAGTATTAGCACACCTGGCACATTCCCGGTCCCACATCGGGCTGAGTATTAGCACACCTGGCACATTCCCGGTCCCACATCGGGCTGAGTTTTAGCACACCTGGCACATTCCCGGTCCCACATCGGGCTGAGTATTAGCACACCTGGCACATTCCCGGTCCCACATCGGGCTGAGTATTAGCACAAAAAAAAAAAAAAAAAAAAAATTTAACAGGGGCCGGGGGAAAAAAAATTTTTTTTGAGCCCCGGGCCGGGGGGGGGGGGGGCGCCAGTTTCCGGTGTAAAACAAAAAACTGCCCCCCCCCCCTTGTCTCAGACCTAACATTTATGTTATTACGCCGTCTTAAAAGAGTCCAATGAAAACAATAGAGATGGACCATAGTCTTGACGTAGATGGTCACGTTGGTAGGTATGGCTTAGGTGTGGCTTAGGTGTGGATTGGTGAGTGGGTTTGGCATAATTTGGTGTGTGGTCTTGGCGTGGACTTGTGTGTGGGTTTAGCGTGGGCTTGTGTGGAGTTTGTCATGATTTGGTGTGAGGGTTGACGTACAAACGACTACACGTTGTTCTACACTGCTAACGACATTTTTGCCAAGATTCCAAAGGGTGATTTTCCAACTTCAGTTTTTTAATTTTCTACTTTCTTGGTGTCCATAAATAAACCAGCTTATCCTTAATTGATAGTATTTAATCTTCAGGAAGTATGTGTCATTGTCTTTCTAATAAGTCAACCGATCCATCCAGATGTTGATAGCGATAGAATTATTACCCCTCTAGTCGTAGTCATAGATAGAGCGATATAATGTTAATATGGTATATGTATACAATGTTTTGTATACATTGAATTCCTAATTTGTGTTACTATATTTTATCTCTTATGTTACTGTTATGTTTAATAAAAATATACTTCCGGGTATAGTCAGCTCAGTCTGACTAGGCTAGTTTGTTGTTTTGATTGCTTTGTTTGTAAATAGGTGCATGGATCACAAGGAAACCAAGCAATGGATCGCCACAAAATTGGACATAGTCGTTACACCTGACCTAGAAATGGTGCCTGAAAACTTTGGTCACAATCCCCTTATCCCAAATGATTTCATTTAAGAAATCGTAAAATGTAGAGGGTAAAGAATAAAACAATGTAATACTTTATTCAGATTGAATGTCTTCGAGGTAATTTCAAGTTAGGTACTTTTTGGTCAATCATTTTTCATAGTGATTTATTGACTATGATGATGGGTTTCCCAACATCTCGAACCTTTTAATTCCCTGGGCCGTTGTTCGATGCACGCACGTTCACTAAGTGCTTCATGCTAAGGGCTCGCAAAGAAGATTGGAGATAAGATTTTTTTATTCTTCAAATATTCAGAAATGCGTGATATACCATTGTAAGGAACTACAGTTGATTGCGTGCCATAAGGAGGTGGTTTAACATGAGATAAGAATTATCACATAGTTCAGGTGCGTGTATTATGGGGGCTTTGGCGTAACTGGGATCTTACAATCTTAGGGTTTCTTTTAATATTTATAACCAACTTTACATAGTAGATGTGTGTGGGGGAAGGGAGAATCTTAAGTGTGTGATTTAGTCTCATATCGGCGTTTATGAAAACTAGGCCTCTGACTTGTATGAGTAGAGCAGTGCCAAAAAGACATGATCTCTTACATAGATAACAAGTGCAATCTATACGATATTTTTAATTATATAAAAGACTTAAATAAATCAAAAAGTAAAATTTCAAATGTCCATCCATGTATCTTTCTGGTATAATATAATGAGGAAACTATGTCTCCTTTACATGCTATCTTTCTGCATGTATGAATGGATCTTGATGACACTGGGCATACAAAGGCGTTTCCTTTCATTATCCATAAGAAGATCTTGACGGTGTATGAAATGATCCAGTTCAGGGTTGTGGGCCACAGTTTGTTTTGTCAATGAGCTTTGTTGACTCCTTTTAAAATAAAATGATAGCTCTAGACTAAACTTGGTGCAAATGCACTTGAAATATATTTAAAACTGAAGAGTTTTGAGCTCATAATCTTCACCACTATTGGGGACATGACACTAAGTCCTTTTTCTGATATTTTCTTTCATTTTCTACCGATTTTAAGGGGACAACTTTTTAACCTTTTTTACTTGGGAGTTATATAGAGTCCTTATCCTAGTGATACTTGAAACATCATAATTTTGCTCGGGCCCCCTACCGGGCAAATCACTTTCCCTTTAATGAAAAATGTCTAGAGTTTGAGAGTTTTGTGTTTACATGTTTTTGTATTGAAATAATGTTTTCACCTTTTTATTTTTAAATTTTATTTACGTTTCTAGAAATGTGTACATTATCTAGAACTTTCTAATTGTTTATAAACGAAGGTTTTAAGATTATATAAATGTCACATTTATTTTTTTTTTAAGTTTCTATGAGCCCTATGATATTCCTTAAATGTTATTACATTAGATATTAAATATATTTTTTTAAGTTCCTGGAACGTTCCAAATAAATTCAGAAGGTTCTACAATGACTTGTCCTTGTATTGATTGGCATAAGTTACAAAAAAAGGCTTACAATACAATGCAAGCTGTTTTGTAAATTGTGGCATCTTTGTAAATATACCTTTCATAATGCCTTTTAAAATGTGATTCGGATTCCAAATTGATCCACATCGAGGCCCCTCCATTTTGCACAAAAAGATTTGATGTCCACATTTTATTTTAAATAAAAAGTTTATTCTTTGGCATTTCTAACCAAATATAATGGGACAACTTTTAAAATAAAGTGTGTTGGTTATCGAACGTAAAAATGGTTACTGCTATAAACGATTCGAGATTATGTTCTTTTTGGCCCCCTGTGGTCCAACAGTGGACAATTTAAAGGTAGCATCTTTGCAAATTCTTTCATATTGTTATAGGATTAATTTGACCATTAAGTTGGATATATATCAAAGTGATTATAATGTTCCTCTGTCTTAGGTAGAACTCAAAGGAACCCATTTGTAAATGGGGACACTCTTTTTGTTTTATTTTAAAAGGATCACAGTAGGACATTGTTGTTTAAAATGATCACAGTAGGACATTGTTGTTTAAAATGATCACAGTAGGACATTGTTGTTTAAAATGATCACAGTAGGACATTGTTGTTTAAAATGATCACAGTAGGACATTGTTGTTTAAAATGATCACAGTAGGACATTGTTGTTTAAAATGATCACAGTAGGACATTGTTGTTTAAAAGGATCACAGTAGGACATTGTTGTTTAAAATGATCACAGTAGGACATTGTTGTTTAAAAGGATCACAGTAGGACATTGTTGTTTAAAATGATCACAGTAGGACATTGTTGTTTAAAATGATCACAGTAGGACATTGTTGAATACATTTTTTTATAAAAATAAGACATCTTTTAAAGTTAGATTTGTCTTTAAAACATTGTTCTATGCTGTGCTCAGCTTGAATATAACCTGAAACTGTCACAATTTCAATGCTCGCATTTTTTAGCAGAGAAACTTTTGTAACTGGTACTTTAGCCAATTACTTTTGACAGTGCCATACATTTTTAACGTTCTAGACTGTTTTTTTACGAATATAAACCCGAGCAACGCCAGGTATGTGACTAGAGACTCATCAAATGCACTGCCTCTTAAAACGTAAGCATTTACAGTTACATGGTTGGCTACATGTATGTTGACCATTGTACATATGGTAAAATGGCTTGTTATAATAAAATGTTAAATCAACATCATGTGTTACGATTAATGATTCTGTTATGTAACAATAGCTGCTGTTGGATTATGTCATAGGAACATATTACGAATGTCGAATGCTGTTGTAGGAAGAGATTGAGACTGTTGGATGATGTAATAGGAACACATGACGATGGTCGAATGCTTTTGTAGGTGTAGGAAGAGATTGAGACTGTTGGGTGCTGCTATGGGAAAAAAATAAGATTGTTGGGAATGCGTTCGACTATTTATTTGTGTGATACTATACATAAATGTTATTTCTTAAACAAAATAAAATGAGTAAAACAAAGTAGGGTTAAAACTGAACAAATAAATGCAAC